CAGATTTTCCACGATATAGAACTCTAATTAAATTGATTCCGCCCGCGCCGTTGCTCCGACCTTTTATCTAATATTTTCCAGCGAACTATTCGAGGAACATTTCCGAGAGAATGCTATATTAATTAGAATATGTAATTCGTTGATAACGTCGCGCGTCTACTCGCGAATCTCTACCAAGCGGATAATTAATTCGAGTTGAATCGGTCCGATTACGGGAGCGGGATTCTACGAGATTTTTAAATGACTCTCGAGAAATTAATTGGTTGTTCGGAAAAAATAAATTATGGTTGTTTCGTCGGGGAGGTTCTCCAACGTTTTTATAAGGCCTGTTTTCCTTGACCGAGCCACCCTTCATCGCGTGGCAACCCCGGCGAGTATTATTAGCTGCACGCTTTGGAATTGGATTAGCGGAAGCGGAATTGCATCGACGGAAACGGAAACGGCGTGGATTGTTCCGCATGGTCACGAAGGACCGTTTGCGCTCGTCCCATCTAATGGAAATACTTGCCGGTGCCATGACACAAATATGGCCCGGAATAACGCGAAACTTCTCTGTCAAAACCGAGTCGCCGGAATCATACACATGCCTCACGCGAAACTCGCAAACTTTTCCAAACCTGGTCGTTCTTTATCATATTCATTTTATCATATTCCTTTATCAGGCCTTGATAATTCGACCGCGAATCTCTGCGCATTTATGGCACACGCGGAGCTCGAAGTTATTTCACTCGCATTCCGATATTTCTAAAATAAGAAGAATGGTACTTTATCGCATTCGTTTGTTCATTCGAGCAGATACTTTGCCATGCAGAAAGTTGGTTATTAAGCGTTAGACACTGTTCGATGCAGAAAGATAAACCGTGAGCTTGCAATTTATGCATCATTCCAATGACTGATCCCACGCGATGTCTTTGAAAATAATCAAAAGAATGAACGTTAACGAGGCTGACAGAGAGAGAGAGAGAGAGAGAGAGAGAGAGAGAGAGAGAGAGAGAGAGAGAGAGAGTGTCGGCGATCGTGGACGTAAGAACGTAGGGTCGAAGGAGGTAAGGGACGCGGATTTAGGCGAGGTCGTCTAATCGTGTCCCTAGTCCTGATTTAGGACGGGATTTTAATTACGAAGGGTCAGTAAGTGCGTCTGTCCACTTGCCGTAAGTATTCCTCCCTTATTTATAGTTCATTAGCTCGGCTTTCGCGCAAAAGGCAGATTAACTTACGCCCGGTTACACGGTCGTTCTCTCTCTCTATCTCTCTTTCTCTCTCTCTGCTCTGTGACAGAGAATTTTACGCAAAACCCCCGCGAAAAGCTGACGGAATACTAATTAAATTATTCTTGCCCGGCATGGCCACCGGAATTTATGAAAATTCTCCGCTAATAATGAGCACCGTCACTCAAATAGTATGAAATCATTTAATCACGGTTTGCGAACGAAGGGCGAAGCGAATTATATAAAAGCATAAAAGCCGACTTCTACGTTTCCCTGATTGTTCAATCTGTGCTCTCCGTGTCAAATAAATTATTTACCGAGGGACACGCGTTCCAGGGAATATCTAGAAGCCGCCATCATCCCCTAGGGAACAATGGTTTCGAAGATTGTGAACAGGAGGAAAGAATAATCTCTGAAGCGGTGACGGGGTATGATTAATGAGATCCCATTAAAAATTCATCGATTATCAATGTCCGAGCACTCGAGCACCGGGGGCAGAGAGGTCTGCCTCGAACAAACACATTTTCTGAGAAACATGTCGTCGATAAGCGTGTCTTACGAAGCCCTTCCGGTGGCGCTGGAAGTGGTTCGTTTCCAGGCGATATCGTCGTCCCGATAAAACGCGTCAAAAAAAATGTTTCTGTTTTTCCCGCCGACCGTTAATCTGTTATCTCGCTCGCTCTGCGACGACCGCTCAATCTCTCCGTCCGCTGGGAATATCAACCCCCAATCCCAGGGAAAATGCCATGCAGAACACACGTATTCGTGCGCACTGCACGACCCGCCAGCAGGCAATCGCTGCTTATCAAAAAATCAAACGCGGATTAACTAGATCGGCCGCGCCAAAGAAATCCCTTTGGGGATGTTCCTGACTATCTACGCTTGTGCCTTTCATACTTAAATACCCTTATTGATAAACGAGTTTCTGTTGCTCGGGAAATTGGCTCGAGGACAAGTGAAAATTATCGAACACATGTTTCGGAGCCTGTTTCCATTCTCGCTCATTTAACGAGATGGTAGCATACTAGGCATTCGTTGATTCTCATTTCTGGACATTGATTAAAACAGCACGATCATTCTACCAGCGTGCGACGTCAAATTCAGAAGATAGAGGGCTAATTCCTCGACATTCGTTTGCTAAAATTACTTAAGAAATGAACTCGAAATAAACGAATGGAAATTCGTCAACGTGATTTCTCTCCTAGCTAAATACTATTTCCTGGGGCTAATGCTATGCTGTACGTGTGCAAGCAAGCACAACAGCGATACTCGTGCTTGTGCAGGAAGACCAATGAAATTAAAGCGGCAAAAGGCNACGTTAACGAGGCTGACAGAGAGAGAGAGAGAGAGAGAGAGAGAGAGAGAGAGAGAGAGAGAGAGAGAGAGAGTGTCGGCGATCGTGGACGTAAGAACGTAGGGTCGAAGGAGGTAAGGGACGCGGATTTAGGCGAGGTCGTCTAATCGTGTCCCTAGTCCTGATTTAGGACGGGATTTTAATTACGAAGGGTCAGTAAGTGCGTCTGTCCACTTGCCGTAAGTATTCCTCCCTTATTTATAGTTCATTAGCTCGGCTTTCGCGCAAAAGGCAGATTAACTTACGCCCGGTTACACGGTCGTTCTCTCTCTCTATCTCTCTTTCTCTCTCTCTGCTCTGTGACAGAGAATTTTACGCAAAACCCCCGCGAAAAGCTGACGGAATACTAATTAAATTATTCTTGCCCGGCATGGCCACCGGAATTTATGAAAATTCTCCGCTAATAATGAGCACCGTCACTCAAATAGTATGAAATCATTTAATCACGGTTTGCGAACGAAGGGCGAAGCGAATTATATAAAAGCATAAAAGCCGACTTCTACGTTTCCCTGATTGTTCAATCTGTGCTCTCCGTGTCAAATAAATTATTTACCGAGGGACACGCGTTCCAGGGAATATCTAGAAGCCGCCATCATCCCCTAGGGAACAATGGTTTCGAAGATTGTGAACAGGAGGAAAGAATAATCTCTGAAGCGGTGACGGGGTATGATTAATGAGATCCCATTAAAAATTCATCGATTATCAATGTCCGAGCACTCGAGCACCGGGGGCAGAGAGGTCTGCCTCGAACAAACACATTTTCTGAGAAACATGTCGTCGATAAGCGTGTCTTACGAAGCCCTTCCGGTGGCGCTGGAAGTGGTTCGTTTCCAGGCGATATCGTCGTCCCGATAAAACGCGTCAAAAAAAATGTTTCTGTTTTTCCCGCCGACCGTTAATCTGTTATCTCGCTCGCTCTGCGACGACCGCTCAATCTCTCCGTCCGCTGGGAATATCAACCCCCAATCCCAGGGAAAATGCCATGCAGAACACACGTATTCGTGCGCACTGCACGACCCGCCAGCAGGCAATCGCTGCTTATCAAAAAATCAAACGCGGATTAACTAGATCGGCCGCGCCAAAGAAATCCCTTTGGGGATGTTCCTGACTATCTACGCTTGTGCCTTTCATACTTAAATACCCTTATTGATAAACGAGTTTCTGTTGCTCGGGAAATTGGCTCGAGGACAAGTGAAAATTATCGAACACATGTTTCGGAGCCTGTTTCCATTCTCGCTCATTTAACGAGATGGTAGCATACTAGGCATTCGTTGATTCTCATTTCTGGACATTGATTAAAACAGCACGATCATTCTACCAGCGTGCGACGTCAAATTCAGAAGATAGAGGGCTAATTCCTCGACATTCGTTTGCTAAAATTACTTAAGAAATGAACTCGAAATAAACGAATGGAAATTCGTCAACGTGATTTCTCTCCTAGCTAAATACTATTTCCTGGGGCTAATGCTATGCTGTACGTGTGCAAGCAAGCACAACAGCGATACTCGTGCTTGTGCAGGAAGACCAATGAAATTAAAGCGGCAAAAGGCGGTCAGTATTCCGGTTCGATTTCCGTAAACACACGTGACGATCGCGATAGATCTCCCAGGCGTCTTTCACGTAAGTAATTGCGGTTTCACGACACGCCACGCCGCCCGATTTTTGCGGTAGATCGGCGTGAATCGACAAAACCGATCCCGAGACAGACCGCCGGTTCCCCGGTCGAACCCAAGGCGACTCGCAGCGGAGAGATAAGAAAACGCTGGACGAAATCGGCCACGGGTCGGGGCGCAGTGCACTTCCGAGGGGTTAATTACATTCTTGCGAGTCCGCACGAACGAGTGAAACCGCATCTGCTTCCTCGATCGCACTTTAGCAGACCGCAGTGCAATAAACGGTAGCGTTGCGGCGAACTGGCCGCACCGGGGACCGTTCAAACCGTCTAACAATACTTTTCCGCGTATGTTCTTGGGAAGAAATCTTACCTTCCGCGGTAGAACAGCGACGTTTCCAAGAACCAGTTGATTCAACCGATCACCGACTCGCTGGGATCTTTGGGAGTGTGGGATGTCTTTCTTTTGAAATCTCTTCCGAGGAGGATTTCCGAGGAGGGGGTGGTTTCTGGAAAAAGTGGATAGGAATGAGAAGCTTTGTAAGTCGGGATTTGCAAGGTGTAACGCGATGAGAAAAAAGGAAATGGAATTGTCCTGAAACCGTCAAGGGTGGTAAACGATTATAAAGTATAGCAAAGGTTGCACCAAATGGATTGGGATTGATTCTATCAAGCTTAGGATCTCGTTATTAGAAACACTTGTCCTCGGAACAAGTGGAAAGCAATAAAGAGCAAGTACTCCATATTTCTGCATGCAAATATTCTGATCACAGGCTACAGCCAATTTACCATCTAGTGAAATGAAAAGTGGAAACATACACAGGAGTTAAAGATTGCTGGCGCTAGCTTGTTTCAATTATTATTTTCAACCACCAATGTGTAAACTATGATAATGCGAGCTGATCGAAGAAAAGATGCAGATGAAGTTGCACCGAGATTGTCTCTTGCAATGGCTATCCCAGCAAGGTAATACTCGTCTCCCTACCTCGTGGAGGTTTAGTTGGTGGGGGGTCGCCGAACAAAGTTCAAAAGAGAGGAAAAGAGGCCGCGAGGTAGAGAAGGAGGAGGTCGAAGGTGGCGGTGGCATGAAGGAACAAAATCGCGGGGGTGGGGCGAACGATCCACGATGAGGGAGAGCCCCACCCCCCCACCTGCTCCCCCAATCACAAGCTCCGCCTCCAGAAACCCGCGTGACGTCACACGGACACTTGTTACGCCTTGCTGGAACACTGGATCGCCTGTGCCACTTGGATCTCTCTCCGAGGTGGAAAAGTCATCCCTTCTGAAGCCTTGAGAGGCTGGAAATCGCACTCCTGGATCCCCTAGTATCTGCAGTTTGTCCTGGACTGGCCGTAACTTCCAATTTTTCTATGGGCCTGCCTCTAAACTCTAGCTCCATGGTTTTAGTAAATTAGGATTCTTTTTCTATTGTATTTGCTGCAATTCAAACTAAATATATAATAAATACTATATAATAATATACTATATATATATATATATATATATATTTTATAATATTTATAAAATAAATATATAATAAATATAATAAATACTATAACAATATTTTATAATTTCCTACCTAAAAGAACAAGGGTGGAACTTGAAAATTCTAATTAATAACTCCTAATAAAATCATGATTTCTGCACAAAAAAAGATCCAATGTATTTTCTAAAGATCGACGATTAAATCTACGAAGTTTGTCTAAAATTCAAACTGCTCTTTCAGAGTTATGCTCGTGTCGCCTCGGTCGATGAATAAAAACGCTAACGCGACACTAGTTTTTGTGCAGAATATCGAGTTCGGTTGTTCGAGTTCGACGCTGATCCAGGAGAATGACTTGCAATTATAAACATAATACGGTCGCCTTGTTTAACATACATTGTCGTCTGGGCCATCCTTCGGATAATCCTATTGTCAAATTCGTTACCAATCTGCAGCAGTAGAACTAAACCTAAATTTCGAGTCTTTACGAAATAACTAATTTTGTTCACACTTGGTGAACTATTTAAAAAAAGAAATGAATGCTGAAAGAGAAACATATGGTATTAGTAGAAAACAGAGTGGTCCAATTGACTCGATCGGACGCCAAAATGAAGTTAGACGGCGATTACGCCAACTACTGAGCAACAGTGGAAACAACGTGGAAACAACGTAGTAAGATATTCGCGAGTATAAAATGATACACACGAGCAGTTTAATTAAAATCGCAATCGTGTCTGTTTCGAGGAACATTTTCGAAACTAGGCCGATTGCGATATCGCGGGTTTCGAAAGATTGGCCCGCCTTGGAATACAGCACGATAACAACGGGGGAATTTCGACGATACTACTTCCTCCTTATCGGAGTAACAACTAGTCGAAAGATTATGCAGTGAAACGGCTAATTACCTCAAATTAGATTCCGCTGTTTTGCCTCGTGCACCCAAATATGCCGAAGAGGTTAGGAATGCAATTAGAGAAGCGCTGGGGAAAAGAATCCGGTCTTCGTCCGATACACAAGATGGCTCGTTGCTGCGAATGGATCTGTAGATAGGAAACGGTTCGTTCTATGTATGTATGTATACTACGATGACACACAGGAATTTCCGCAACGGCCGATTATTAAAAACGAGCCGTATTATGTTGTAGCAGTTAGCGTACCTTTCACGGCTGCTTGATTCGACCTTCGCTGGATTTTTTCTCTTTCTTCAACCTGCGAAACCGTCCTGCTGCACTTGACGACACGAGTGACACGGCACGTTCCTGACGACTGCGCAATCGAAGCGGCGATCGATGAGAAGTCGCTTCGATAATCGAAAGTGCATCGCGCTCGAAAGCGCGGGAAAGCGCTGATGGCGCCAACTGTCGAATCCTGAGCAAGTGTCCTCTCCACGGTAAGCTGCTTTTATTAACGGAAATTCGATGTTTATATTTATTCGAAAAGCAAAATAAGTTAACAGCGTAGATAATGTAAGCTAGTAAATAATTGCGAGTAAAGTGTAAATAATAGTTTGAACTTTCAGTGCGTTTAAGACCCTCCCGACGAGAGGAAACCTCAACTTAACCTAGACTTCGGTGCGCAATCGAGCTGCTTCATTTAAGTAAGTAGCCAATTAAGTTCTCGTTTCTTTTTCCCGTAGCTTGATCTTTTAATAATCCCTTATCTTTTTTGATACTTCATGCTGGTATATGAAACAAATTTTTATTGCCACAGGGGTATTCGTTTAGTACTTAAGCGATCACTGATCACGCTCGTTACGAGCGTTTATGGTTTCTAACGTCGTATTTAATTTTTACTCCTATCATTAATTGAGATAATCCATGACTTCGTATATAGCTTTTTCATTTTCTTTCCAAATTAACACCTTAACGAGTCTTGAAACCGCTCGTATAAAAACTTTTTCTTATTTTCAGATCTTGTGGCAATCCCAATTAACTTGGAGAGGGCGCACGTGTAGATAGAGGATTAAGGGCCCAAAGGGTCCGTTTCGGAGGAATTAAATACAAAATCCAAATACACAGCAGGTAAATAATCAAAAATTTTGAAACTGATGCGGGTTCGCGACCGATGCGGAGAAGTCGTGCGAGGAAGGTAGAAGATTAAGGGTTTCAAAGGGTTAATGCGGAGGTGCGCAGAAAGAAATGCCGCGAAAACCGAAGGACACGGTTCGAGCCCGAGCCTCGAGTCTCGAGCCTCCGATCTGGAGGGCGGTCGGACGGGCGTCGGTGGGGATGTGGGAGCGTCGGGACGCTTGGGGACGCGGCGGGAGGACTTGGACGTCGGTGGGGAGGTTCGGAATTGCGAGGCTTAGCCCGTCCCGGCCCGTCCCGGGCCGCTAACGCGGAACACGCGGCCGAAGCCGCGCCGCCGGCATTACGTCGCGCACCGTCGACCGCGGCTGACGTTCGCGTCGGACGTTCCTCTCTCCGATCGACTTCCGCTCGACCTCATCGTGACCACCGGATGCCCGGAGTGTTCCCCGCGGGAACAGGTTGTCCGATACAGTCTCCTGCCGGTCCATCGGGTCAGGAAACAGCCCGGCACACAAGTGAAACGAAGCCCCGTGTGATCCGCCGGAACGCAGAGCCTCCGGGGCGAGGCAACAACCTGTAGGATCCGTCGCGTCGGGAGCGTGTTTACTCGGATCGCGTCGGTGATTTCTTGAGACGTTGATCACGTGGCCGACCAGTGACACCAACATCGAGCTCGGATCGGTCCGCGATCGGTCCGAGATCGTGGCACCAGTGAGAGCGGGGCCCCAAGATCGAACCGAGAGCCCGAGGAACGAACCCGTCTGCCATCTTCCGCCGGTTGTCCCACTTTCATCGTCGTGACAAATGTCGATCGCGGACAGAGTGATGAAGATCGTGGAGAGGAAAGATCGTGGAGACGGATCGTGATTAGCCGGGGCCCGATGAGACGATGACGAGCTGGTCGGTAAGTAAGGCTGATCGACGGGCGCAGAAGCACCGGTAGTCGCCAGAACCGGAAACTGGAAACCGGGAGACGGAAACCGGAAGCCGGAAGCCGGCTGCTGGATAGGAGCTGGAGGACTCCTTCAGAGGAGGCGAGTGAAAGCCACGACGTCCTGCCCGGAGGGTGCGTGTTTGGGCGACGAGGGGCGGCTACTGGCCGATGGGATGCATCTACCGGTGGGTTCCGTGGGTTGCGGGGAGAATTACGCCACCGTTGGGTCCCACGAAGGCGCCGGCCCCTGCGGCCCCTCATTGGCGCCGCTGCAAGGGGTGAACACCAGGTACCAGCAGGCCGAAGACGCCGACGCTGGGGGTGGTGGTGGCGAGATGAGCGAGGGTGCCGCCGTCGGCGAGCTCTGGTGGACCGAGAGGCTCGTCGGCGAGGCACAGGCTGAACACCCTGGCGAACTCGTTCGAACAGGTTCGTACATCCAACGGTATTCGTTAAACTTTCTCTAGAATTTATCTTAGGCAAGAATTTGGGTTGACTTTTGCATGGGTTACCTCTTTTCTTTACCGTACTTTGTACTTTATAAGTGAACAAGATTTACGGATAGTCGCGGTGGTCAAGGAACTAATTGCAGTTAGGTGAACAAGGTTTAGGATTAGTTTTTCCTGTGGAGGTAGAGTACAGTGTGTAGGTGACGAACTTTTTAATCTTATCATGTATTATATTTTGCACAGAAATGTTAGAGACTAAAGATTTACAATTAAGCAAGGTTCCAGTTTGATCAGCGTAGAATTGTGGATGGAGGAATCTTGAGCACATTCCTGTGGAGATGGAGAATAAATTATAATTAATTCTAATGTGGATGACGATTATAGAATTGTATTATCTCAGTTAGTAGGCAGAAAGGTTTATAAAAGAATAAGCAATAATCAAGGAGTACTTTTAACAATACTTTCTATCGCGCAGTTCTAGCAGCATACTTTGTCCATCGTCATGCTCTTAATTAAATGCACTTATTGATTCTATGAACCACGAAATTACCAATAAAAATTGATACCTGATTTCGGTGTGTTTTATCTGGTTAACTTTAACAAGAGAGACGGAGTCTTTCGCATAGCTGATCAGACTATTGTACAATTTTTTCTATCATTTATTAATTCATCTCTGGCTCATAGCCTTATGTGTTAAGACCTAGGAGTACCACAGCGTATAAAAGTGGTCATTTACTAAAAATAATACTGATCGTTGCAATTGTCTTTGATCGGCAAATTTGGCTCTACAATTTAGTCTTTGAAATTCTGAATTTAGTTTCGATGGACAGTTGAGACAGTAATTATTTTTGCTCCTTTCTCAGGATCGCCGTATTTTCTCTGCAGCCAACTGCCGACTCATTGGCGGTCGAACAAGACGCTTCCGGTGGCATTCAAAGTTGTCGCCCTGGGCGAGGTCGGAGATGGAACCTTAGTGACAGTGCGAGCGGGGAACGACGAAAACTGTTGCGCCGAGCTCAGGAATTCCACCGCTTTGATGAAGAACCAAGTCGCCAAGTTCAACGACCTCAGGTTCGTCGGCAGGAGCGGCAGGGGTGAGTTCCTCGAACGATTCTTTAACACCTTCTCCAGCATCGATCGGCAAATTTTTCTTGCGTTCTCTCGCATCGCCGTGCAAATCGCACGATCCGAAAAATTGTTCCGGACAATGTAAACGAATGAAGAACGAAACCATAAAAACAGCCGTGCAGAAACTTTTCAATTATCCCGTTCGAAAAGAGACGACGACGCTGTTTCGATCCCGGTGTTTATATTTTGCCAAAAAATTAGTCGGTTAACGAGTCCGACGAAGCTCCCGAGACGAGCAATTAGCAATCCTCCAATTAGGGTGGTGCAGTTCCGTTCTTCAAAGCTAGTTTGCTTTGTAAGTCGCCCAAAAAGCAGTCAGTAAATTGCGCGGCAGGGGCATGTGCCGTGATTTCGGACCCTCTAAAAGCACGGTTATTGTAATCATCATCGTCATCAACTGGCCTGAACACCCCTCGAACCGCCTCGCTTTTCAACCCTCCGCATCCGCGAGTTCTCCCGCTCCCGCCGCCCCAGAGTCATTACTCGATGTCCGCCGGTAGCCCCGACCTAGCATCCGAAACAACTGGCCGTTAATCAGAAATCATCGTCCGTCGGTTAGGGAGAGAAACAGAGACAGAGAGGCTAAGTCTCCAAAATCATGCGAGTCCGGTCGATGTGCTCGCCGCTCGTTTAATTCCCCGTTCGAAAAGTGGCCCCGCGTTTTCACGATTTTTCATTCCCCCTTCCTTCGATGTTCAAGACAGCTGCGAAACTTTAACGCCGAAACTAAATACCGCGATAGATAGAACGACTTATTATTGAAATCGTTTCGCGGGACATGATCGATCGAACTTTTTCCTGAAATTTGGAAAAGGCGAGCGCGCGAATCAGCGAATTTTAGCGATCGGCAGGTTCGGTGATTAATTCTATGGGAGTTTTATCGAATCGGTGTCCGGGGCACTTTGAAGAGTAAATCAGATCCCGCTACTGTAAAATCGAATCATCGACCACAATGGGAATGAAAAACGAGTCTGCAGCTCTCGGCCGCGTTTAATAAATGATGCTCCGGCGGCGGCTCGCGGCGGTTTTTTAAATAATCCGTTTTCGGCGCGCGGATTAAGTCCGTCGGCCCGTTCGGATTTCGGTGCTTCGATCGACGACGATTGTGCTTTGCCGCCAGGTAGCTAACCTGTGCGTCCCCGGACCTACAAATGCATTTTCCCGTCCGCGCGCTGTACCACCGCCACCCCCGTCGGGGTTCTATGCACCGGAGGATGCATTTATGAATTAACGAGGTAGACTGATCGAGGCTGGCTCGCGCTCACGCTCTCGATGGCATCATCTATGTTTCATTTGATTTCATCATGAAGTGCAGGGTCAGCGAGTCGCCATCCTCCTGACACCGGACACGCTAACCCCGGGGAATCAATTAGCGAAAGAGACACGTTCCCTCGCCAAAATCCTTCGATCCCTTTGTCCAGTTTTTCGGCATTTTTTCCGCTCTACCTCTCCTCGATAATCCGTAATACTCAATTTCGACGATTGACCAAACCGCTCCCTCCCCCTTCTCCGCCACCATGGCTCGTAGCCGGCCGCGGCCGACCATGCTCTACCCTCCTATCATCGAGGTTTTGTTTCCGCGACTTATTAATTTGATTGAAACCCGCCGCGAGCCGCGCCGATCGCCCAATAACCGATGTCCCAAGAAATTCGGCTACGTTCGATCAAAATTGAAATAGCCCCTTCGAATTTTTCGAAATTCTTTTTTCAACAACTCGAAGTAAAACGCGTGCTCTCGTATAGGAAGCTGGCCTTGGAGCGAGCGATATTGTTTCCTCTTTAGAGTTCCCATTTTTAATACCGATTCGGTAAACATCGGCCGACCAATTCCGGCAAAGACAAGCGTCTGAACCAGCCGTCTCTAAGCTTTCGTAAGCTACCCGAAAGATCGGGTCGCAGGGGGTCGCTATCGGAACAATCCTCGAGAATGTATCCGAATATGAGCGGTCGGGGTACGGGGCAATTATCACCTTTCCTGAGTGGCGGTCGAGGTTCCGGTGTAGCTCGGGGAGTGAGGGGTCGTTGAAAAGAAGAGATGAGACGAGGAGAGAAGAGAAGATAGAAGCTGGTAGCGCCGGATGAAAGAAGGGTACCTCACCGGCCGGCTGAAACGGGCGTTCCATCATGGTCGGTTCCGAGGCATCCCGTGCCTATAATTAGTAATATACCGCAGTCTATATCGACACGGCTGAAATTACCACCGATAGTAATTATTTGACAATTGCAGAGACATCCTGTTGCGAGACTCGGGACCTTCGCCCCGTTCCTCCTCCATCTCTGCCTCCCAGGCCCGTTGCTCTGCCTGCCCCCTCGTTTTCCATTCTCCCAGCTTCTGGCTCCCACTTGCTTCGAGCCTGTGTATCCCTACGAATGTGCCTAGGATACCCCGTCCCCTCCCCGGCCCCGTTCCCGTTCCTGCTCCCGCCCGGTGCCACGAGTATTAACGGACGGTTTCGAGTGGTTTCGGGGACGGTTGTGTGGGCGGTTTCGGGATGGCGCTCAATCTCATCCTCGCCCGTTCGAAACGCACACCGACACACAGCCGAAAACGAGGCCCTCTTCCACTCGCTCACTCTCTCTCTCTCTCTCTCTCTCTCTCTCTCGCTCTCTCTCACTCTCTCTCTCACACACACTCGATCTCGATCTCTCTCGTTCTCGTTCTCTCTCAGCCGCTGCCGGACAACCGGTGATGCTGCACGTTATATAGGTGCCACATACGCGTGGCCCGGTTTTGTCTGTCGGTCGGTCTGTCCGTTCGTCCCGTACGTCCGTCCGTCCGTCCGTCCGTCCGCCCGTCCGTCGGTTCGTCCGTCGTTCGCGAATGCACAGCCTGGGTGTTCTGTCTCTGCAGATGACCGTTCCCATCATCGAGTATTAACCGCAGGACCGGGGAATCGGCGGGAGGGGGAGGGGAATCGGCCGTGCGGCATTATTAGCCCCAAATGCGATGGACTCGGACGGGGGAGGGGCGGGGGTGCCGGGTGTCGCGCGCGAACCCCCTTCTCCGAACCCGCGATATGCGACTTGAACAGAATTTCAACCCTTACTTGCGCTCTTCCTGCCTTCGAGCGCCCAGTGCCTTCCTCCTCCTTCCAAACTGACCCGACGCTTCTCCCTTTGAACGCTGCCAAGGTCGCTCGATCTTCCGAAAATGGCGTTCTCGATAGACATAGGACTTGGAGGGTTGTTTCGCTCCACAGCTGACAACCAAAGGGTTTGAATAGAATCTTCTCTGACCTACAAAATCGACGCGAACCAAAGAGCTTGCAAAACTTCCGATAGACCGACTCGACGGACCTGGACCCGAGCATCTTCCAGAAGGAAGGCGGCTCGAGGTTACAGGAACGCCAGGGTGGTCCATTCGGCTTCCAATCGCGTCCCATCAGTTGCAAACGTTCGCCGCGTGTCATCCGGGGTTCGAGGTCGCGCGATCGCCCGTAAAAGACAGACGCGCGGCCTCTGTCCTCCGTGATCGATGCCGCTAATCGATTTTAAAACGAAAGCCAGAAAGAGCAACCGCGACACCCGCGATTTTTGGGGGATGTATTCTGAAACGAGCCACTTTGCGCTCGGCCGGAACGATGACGATAACAAGGATACAATGACGGGCGCGAGAGCGACAGCACCGCGCGGCTCACGGGGGTGAAACGGGTGGTGAAACTCACCGGGGGTGAGGGGGGGGCGAAACGCGGGAGGGTCGGCGGTGGGTGGACGGGTGGACTGGTCGGGAAAGAGGGTTTGAGCGGTTGCACGCGGGGGAGAGAGCGAACTATAACTAGGATATAACGCCGTGCCTCTCTGCAGTCAGTTGCAGCTCCCGGGGGTGGCGGGGTTGGGGGTGTTTGATGCCGGTTATCATGTTGACAGACACAGCGAGGCGGACCTGGGCGCGCCAAGGGGAGACAATTACAAATCGTTGACGTTTACGCCAACACAAACGACTATATGTCCGCGACACGTTAGATATCCTCTCTTTAACGCAAACCGACGTCCTCCTTCGTATCTTCCATAATTGGCCCGGTCGCCCCGCGATCCTTAGATACCGCCCACCACGGAATTTAACGGAACGTCCTGCTCCCGATTCGCAATCTCTTGCGACAGCGATTTTTTGAAAAATCAAGCAACCGTGTTTCGGATGTATGCACCGCGCCGATTTTTGCCGTTGCATTCGGTCCGGTCCCAATCTTCTATCAGGACCAATTAATTTCACGCTCGAGGCCGTCCATACAGTTCGAAGAATTCCCCAGAACCTTTGCTACCAGTCTCCGAACGCTCGGATGTCGCCCGGCGTTCGAAAAACGATCAACACCTCCTTCCCACGAAGCCAATCTATTTTTAAGTGGCCGGACCGTGCCGACACAAAGTAACATTCCCGCGAGGCGATATAACACGGTTGACTCTGCCGGGGCCNCGACACACAGCCGAAAACGAGGCCCTCTTCCACTCGCTCACTCTCTCTCTCTCTCTCTCTCTCTCTCTCTCGCTCTCTCTCACTCTCTCTCTCACACACACTCGATCTCGATCTCTCTCGTTCTCGTTCTCTCTCAGCCGCTGCCGGACAACCGGTGATGCTGCACGTTATATAGGTGCCACATACGCGTGGCCCGGTTTTGTCTGTCGGTCGGTCTGTCCGTTCGTCCCGTACGTCCGTCCGTCCGTCCGTCCGTCCGCCCGTCCGTCGGTTCGTCCGTCGTTCGCGAATGCACAGCCTGGGTGTTCTGTCTCTGCAGATGACCGTTCCCATCATCGAGTATTAACCGCAGGACCGGGGAATCGGCGGGAGGGGGAGGGGAATCGGCCGTGCGGCATTATTAGCCCCAAATGCGATGGACTCGGACGGGGGAGGGGCGGGGGTGCCGGGTGTCGCGCGCGAACCCCCTTCTCCGAACCCGCGATATGCGACTTGAACAGAATTTCAACCCTTACTTGCGCTCTTCCTGCCTTCGAGCGCCCAGTGCCTTCCTCCTCCTTCCAAACTGACCCGACGCTTCTCCCTTTGAACGCTGCCAAGGTCGCTCGATCTTCCGAAAATGGCGTTCTCGATAGACATAGGACTTGGAGGGTTGTTTCGCTCCACAGCTGACAACCAAAGGGTTTGAATAGAATCTTCTCTGACCTACAAAATCGACGCGAACCAAAGAGCTTGCAAAACTTCCGATAGACCGACTCGACGGACCTGGACCCGAGCATCTTCCAGAAGGAAGGCGGCTCGAGGTTACAGGAACGCCAGGGTGGTCCATTCGGCTTCCAATCGCGTCCCATCAGTTGCAAACGTTCGCCGCGTGTCATCCGGGGTTCGAGGTCGCGCGATCGCCCGTAAAAGACAGACGCGCGGCCTCTGTCCTCCGTGATCGATGCCGCTAATCGATTTTAAAACGAAAGCCAGAAAGAGCAACCGCGACACCCGCGATTTTTGGGGGATGTATTCTGAAACGAGCCACTTTGCGCTCGGCCGGAACGATGACGATAACAAGGATACAATGACGGGCGCGAGAGCGACAGCACCGCGCGGCTCACGGGGGTGAAACGGGTGGTGAAACTCACCGGGGGTGAGGGGGGGGCGAAACGCGGGAGGGTCGGCGGTGGGTGGACGGGTGGACTGGTCGGGAAAGAGGGTTTGAGCGGTTGCACGCGGGGGAGAGAGCGAACTATAACTAGGATATAACGCCGTGCCTCTCTGCAGTCAGTTGCAGCTCCCGGGGGTGGCGGGGTTGGGGGTGTTTGATGCCGGTTATCATGTTGACAGACACAGCGAGGCGGACCTGGGCGCGCCAAGGGGAGACAATTACAAATCGTTGACGTTTACGCCAACACAAACGACTATATGTCCGCGACACGTTAGATATCCTCTCTTTAACGCAAACCGACGTCCTCCTTCGTATCTTCCATAATTGGCCCGGTCGCCCCGCGATCCTTAGATACCGCCCACCACGGAATTTAACGGAACGTCCTGCTCCCGATTCGCAATCTCTTGCGACAGCGATTTTTTGAAAAATCAAGCAACCGTGTTTCGGATGTATGCACCGCGCCGATTTTTGCCGTTGCATTCGGTCCGGTCCCAATCTTCTATCAGGACCAATTAATTTCACGCTCGAGGCCGTCCATACAGTTCGAAGAATTCCCCAGAACCTTTGCTACCAGTCTCCGAACGCTCGGATGTCGCCCGGCGTTCGAAAAACGATCAACACCTCCTTCCCACGAAGCCAATCTATTTTTAAGTGGCCGGACCGTGCCGACACAAAGTAACATTCCCGCGAGGCGATATAACACGGTTGACTCTGCCGGGGCCCGAAAGAAACGAGAGGGGCGAGGGGGGGCCCTTCGTTGAACCCGGACAGCGGCGAATTACCGAATGCATATTAGCGCGCGATGGGCCGTTTAAAAGAGCGTAGTCAATCTCGGCGACGGACGTTTATGGAGAGGGAATTAATATACCGGACCTTCAACCTCGAGACCTTCGCCGGTGATATATGTACCCCGAGATGCTCCACCCCCGGGGTTCCCTTCGCCGTGTTGCCCCCTACCCGGAGGAGTTCGCGGTCTTCCGAGACATCTAATGGTCCTCGATGCAATCGCCGCGCGCCGGAGGAAATCGTAAACTATTCCGATCGGGACTCGACTCGACTCGACCGCAGCCTTCAATCTGTCGCTGGTTCTTTTAGCAACTGGTGTTAACAAATTAGTCGCCTTTTTGCCCGTGGCCTGCCCCTGAACACCTTCCTCTACGATCTTAGAACGGGGGAGAAGAGTTGTCCAATATCTTTAGACCTTATACGCAGGCAAAGTTTCGCACCGAAAGGTGAGAGTTGAAAATGTTCTCTGTGGGAAGGGTTAATCTTCAGCTCTTTCGGCTGCACCGTATGACATCTTTTTATTTGAAATAAAAAGAACAGAGTACAATTTGCTGACCGATTCGATGATGGAGATCGATTCCTTCGCATCCTCTAATTCTCTGATTTGCTAAGAAACGCTTCTCAGGTTCGTCTATAGCGCTCTACAGCAAAGTTTGCGATGCTTGTTGCAGGGAAGAGCTTCAGTATCACGATAACGGTGTCAACGACGCCCCCGCAAGTGGCAACCTACACCAGAGCGATCAAGGTAACGGTGGACGGACCGAGGGAGCCACGCTCCAAAACGAGTGAGTAGAAAAGAACAGTTTTCGTTAGATACAACAGCCACGTATCTGGCCACTAGATCTATCCGCGGCCACCGGCTGCTACTATCCTGCGTGGATTCCCTGAAAATGTACCGATAATTCAACGAAAGTCCCTATACGCGGTAATGGGGAGTCATTACCGAGCAGATGGTGCGCGATGATGCAGTGGTCGACGTGCGTACCGCGCGTATGCGTGTTTCGGGTTAGCTATTCACCCGGGCCGTGCTACATAGACAATGCTTTTACCAGCACACTCGCGAAAAGTAATCCACTTACCGTAATATACTATGAAAACCTCCAAAAATATCCGTTAATTACTGCTGCTTGGCCATGCTTAATAACCGGGGCGTCGCGTATTTGCGAGAGCTTGATATACAAATAACCATGCACCCCATTCGCCGACCCACGAAACTCTGCCTTCCAGTTCGCAAAGCTGAGAGATCTTGCCACGGGATTTTCTTGTCTCGGCCATCTCTGTTTTCGCAATTATTGTCTAGGAAAATATTGCTGGCTTCTTCTTACAGTGCCTTCAAGTTTTGGGAAGCTGGAAATTTCGCTAGAAAATTCGTCTTGTTGCTCCATTAAAAATTCTATGAGCGCGCGATTCGGTGATAAGTGTTCCTTTTTTTAAGTCTATATTGCATCTAGGTTTTATACAAATCATAGGAGAACTCTTAATCCAACGTATATCACAAAAATTAGAGTCCGGTAAGAGAGTGATTCCTCGCAAAAAAAACCGAGTCGAAAATATGGAACGAAATTTGTTCATACAAGGCTTCCCTGACAAGAAAATCGAGTTTGAAAAATCGTTGGGCACTCGAGCACCAAGCGGGATTATGGCAGGCCGGACGAACGAAGCAAACTGTGTCTGCACGCGTACCTAACGAGTTTTCAAACTCATCTTTCATTCCAATATCAAAGAATATTCGTGGCGAATGAAATCGTCTGGAAGACTCGACCTACTACCTTTGGACGATCAAAGGTTAACCAACGCAGTGGAAACGCGGGCGGTACGAAGGGCAAACTGTAAATCAGTAACAGGTGACACCGGTTTCACCGTGGCCATGAATATTCATCGCGAAAGGTGATTCGGAAACCGTGAAAATAACCGAACGCACACAGGGACCAATAACGAAAATAATTCCATCGGAGCTCGAGCATTTAAAGCCGGCGTGATTTTTCGATTACCCGCGGTCGCTTCCACATAATGGGACCCGCGAAATGTAAATTAATCCCCGCGAATATCTGTCGCGAATCGGTCGGATTTGCAGGCTCCTCTCTCGAAAGGGCAATCCTCTCTCGCAAAACTCGTGCCCGCGACGCCTAAGCCGCGGCCGGCCCCCTTTTCGGGCTCGGTTGTTCTACTGGCGGCAAAAAATGCCCGTTATTTCGATATCAGATTAATAGCCGCTGCGGAGTCGACCGCGAATACGGCAGCGTTTTTGCGGACGTTTCGCATTTGTTGTATAAAGTATTGATAGGCGTAGGGCGATCCGTGCCCGGCGGCCTCGCAGATTTTTTTTCCCCAAAATGGTCCATCGTGATTGATTCTACTAACGTTTTTTTTTATCGCTCGTCTCGCCCTGCCCCTCTCCTCTCTGCCATCGACCGTTCGTCTCTCTTTCTCTCCCGTTTTTCTCTTCTCGGCCAGCGGAACGGAGAAACGCGCGTATAATATTCGTCAATTTTCCAGCGGTCGACGAGGCCGCGTTTAACCATCGAATTAAAGTTTCACGGGGCAACGAGGTTAATTGTGAACTATTTACACGTTAACACCGCCGGCCTCGGATTTTTCCGTGCCCCGTGCTCTCTGCTCGATCCTGATCCTGGCAACCGTGCTCGCTCCGAAATATCAAAACAAGAAAAGCGATATTTTTCGACACGCGACCCGGCCAAATGGAAACATTGCGAATTTTCCCGGAATACTGTTTTTGTCAAGGCTTCCGATCTATATTTCTGCCGTTCTTATCGGCGATCGATGCAAAATCAATCAGAACTCCTCCAGGAAACACCTCTGCTCGCATCGCTGGCAAAGTAGTTTGCGTAATGATCCACTTATCAATCGGTCTCTGCAATTGAAACCAGCTGGTATTCGCCCGTCGTCCACCTAAAAACGATGCAGGTATTCGATTATCATCGGACCTTTACGCTCAAAATAAAAAATGTCTGCGACAATCGCAAGACACGGGAGCCAAGTGCAACGTTCTTCCTTCCCTAAAAATAATTCGAACAAGTTGCAATTAATACGTCAACTTTGCCATGAACGCAGTCCAATCATCGCCAATAACCGAAGCAAGCACCATCGTTTCTACAAAGATCCGTGCTCTACCAATGCTCCGAATCGACCGCCGACAAAATATTGGAATCTAGATAGAGCTTTTCCAAACGTAGCTGTCCAAAAATCACCACCGATTAATCGCGTTCGTAAAATGCGAGCCTAGCTCGAATCCAGGCTCGCAATCGGCGGAATTCCTCCACTGAAAGGGTGCAATCACGACACTGGCACTCCATTTACAACTCGAGACTCCTTAGTCAAGTGAGGCGCCTCGATCGACACTTCCATGGCGGGTCGTGCCGTATAAACACCAGATGCGAAACTCGGGCTCGGTAACAGCCGAATTCTCGGGCTTCAACTTTTGTTTCGTGGCGGCTATTCATCGGTGTGAATGATCGTGGAAGTCTGGGTCCGTGTCTGTCCCTTGACTCGGCGGTCGGAAAAAAACGTGTTCGACGAGGCTGGCCGCTAACAATGGCCACGGAAACGGTGGCGGCAGCCGAGGCGCGAGACCGAGGACTCTCTGGTCCCAGACTGGAAACGTCGGTCGGTCGATTTAATTCAGACGCGACGGGCCCCCGAAATGAAAGGGGCCCTGTCGGGACGATGAGACAGAGAAAACGAGAAAGAGTAGGCGAAGGGTGGAGAGAAAGAGAAATAGAATAGGAAAGAGAGAGCGCGCGCGAGCGTGTGTCGCGTGGAGAAGTCCTGGGTCCTGTCGAAACGGGACACGCATCACGACATATTGCATACACACCCGGGGTTTTTCGGGGCATGAGGCATGAGGCATGAGGCATGAAGCATGAGAGAGGTGGCGTGTCTCCTCGGCTTGGCACGCACCAGGGACAATTTATGTAACGACCGGCGAGCGTACGAGCCGCCGCGCCGCGCCGCGCCGCGCCGCCGTCGGGCAAAACAAACACTGTGCTCACGAGCGCGCACCGCTACGCAGACACCTGCCGGCTATCATTATTGCATGGATAATCGTGAGCTTTTTGTTATCGAAAATTACCACCACCATAGGCCGGCCCCTCGCACCCCTAGTCCGCGATCGTCTAGCGCGACCCTCTTCTTTCCGTCTCTTTCCTCCCCGCCTGTCTCCCTTTTATGCCCGAGAGAACGGCTGTTTCGGGCCGGAGGCCCGGTAATCGTGCAATTTCTGTAATTCGCCTGTAGTTCGACGCGTGTAAATACTACGAGCGCGGCTACCGTGGCCTGGAACGACACGTAACATGATTAACGGACCGCGCCGGCATGCGATTCGATCACCGGAAACGACGGACGCCCGATTTTCGAGACTGCCAAGGATTTTCGTGCTCCGCACGTTTCACGATATCACCGTTCCTTAGGATTCTTGCGAACATTTCTCTGTACGCTTACAGTTTCCCAACGACGATACTGAATCGTATCTTTCGTCTACGTACGAGCGACGCAAATTCGAAAGTCTCTGCTGGCTCTGAAAAATTTTTTTCGCGACTGGCACCAACGTTGATTTCGAGCTTAAAGTCTCCTCTTCGCGACAAGCTATCAAAAATTGACGTACGATTTTTTGGAGTGGATTTATCGCGGTTTGAAGCAGGTGTAGTTTGTAACCCAGGCGAACGACCAAATTAATTGATCGTTTCGATAATAATCTTGCACCGCGAAGTTCGAAACAGGTACCGCGTTGCATTTTACGGAATTTCATGGAAAAATTGGCCGAACTACGTTGGGACACGTTTCGCAAACTTGGAACTCAGGTTTTGCCGTGGTTCGGCTTAATTTATTCTCGAGGATCGCTCGCAGATCGTGATTTTTCTGAGTGCAGCCGTTGGGTGGGAATCGAGAGTAGGAAGTGACAGGACCTAACGGACTTCCAAGGCTGGAATTGTCTGACCGGAACCGTTCGAAGCGCGAAGGAAGTGTCCGGCTACTGCGCAAACTAAGAAACTGACTGCACACAAATTCTCGTTATAATCGGCTGAAAAATTTGGCCGGCTCCCTGTCGTTTTTTTCCGCTCGAATGTGTCGGATCCGGAATTGGACACGCAAATGGCAGCCTATTAGTCGGAAGAAGCAGCGATTCGTCGAAGAAATTGCGGGGAACGATCGAAAGAGCAGGCAGAAACGCGACGGAAAAGGGCGGCCAGCGATCGAGCCGAGTGAAAGGGATCGCGGAACAAAGTGGCTAGCAGCCGGTTACGGTAGCCGAAAATCATCGAAACGCAGCTGGCCGGACAATATCGGCGGACAGTCGCTGTCAGTCAAACGTTGAAATTGAATTTGCTTGGCCGGTAATTGGTCCGCGTTTGGAATGTCGATTAGAGGGAATGCAGGGAGAGTCCGCGAAATGATTTCTGGCTTTCATAGAAAAGCGAGGTTCCCGAGGCCCGCGACCCGCGACCCACGACCCACGACCCGCTGGCATCTGGATTTAAGGGCCGCATGGGAGTCGAAATTGCGCTGCCAAAAAATCAGCTTAATTCCGTGTCCGGTGGCAAACGATCGAGCGGACGATATTGCCGATGAAAACGTTAAAATTGAACGGAGCCGTGTGCGTCCGCTGGAAAAACAACTGTTTGCAGCGAAACATGAATTTTATACTGTATCGGCGCGGAGGCTGGAACGACGAGAGAACGATCGTCGCTTCGAAATGGAAATAAATCGCTAGGGCCGTAGATTGACGTGCAAACACAGGTCGATCAACCGGGCATTTTGTTCCTTCGGTGCGGAACAGTTAATTTTCCGTGGACGCCTTTTCGGATGTTAGAGGGAGTCGCAGTTCGCCGATTAAAGTCGTTTCAAAAATCCTGATTAAAGGACGGTCCGCGACATCTCGTGACGGATCTACAAATGGCAGGCCTCGGCCCGTTCGTTCGCGAATTGCTGTTATCATGAGTCATCATTGGCCGCTGGAAAAATGCCGTTTTTCTTCGGCCGAGCCTTTTCATCAGGTTTAGACAATGTTTCGGTGTTGTCTCGGTGCGATTGCGCGACTCCAAGATGGAGAACTACGATCATTATTGCAAGGATTCTCCGCAGTGGACCCGTTGACGCGACCGTCTTCAAAATTTACAGAAAAATCCAAACTTTTACAAGAGTACAATCTCGAAAAAAATGACGACAGAAGTCTTCGATGGTACTATTACAGAAATATCTTTATAATTTCGGTAGCAGTATGCGGTCGTATTGTTACAGCTAACAATATGTTAGCTCGAATTCCAATTTCCTCGCAGATAGAGACTATTCCGACCGGAAAGCTGCTAGCGCATTGTTCGCCAAAATTTCGAGAACTCTTTGTGCATAAAAAATCTCGGAGAAATTTATTCCAGATCTCGCGCTCGGATTTCACGATTGATAAATTACTCGTCCGCGGAGAGTTTGCGGAATTTATTGGGGAATTTATGTTCGATGAAAGCATAGAAACGAACGCGGCAAAAGTGCTCGAAGCAACGGTCTCTGGGCATGGGGAGGAGAGGAGGAAAGATACGAGCGAAATTCTCGAAAATTCTGGCAGACCCCGGCGTCAAGGAGGACGTAAGACGAGCGGAGGGAGGGGCCCGTTATTAGAGAGGAGGAAAAAGCCGCGCTATTTCCGTCCTCTGGGGCCGCCACACTTTGATTAGATAAGCCCACCATTCGTGCTGCGGAGATTGGAATTATTGCTCTCTCTTTGCTTCACCATGCTCCACGAGCACCAAAAGGGGCAATCGGCGAAGGTGTTATATCACGATCGTTCTTGTTTATTGTAATTAACCACCTTCCCGCCTCACGATTCGGCTACCTGGTGCGTCGCCCGACGCTCTGCCCAATTAATTACCTAGAGACCACCTTGGATTATTCTCCTAATCATCGCGAATTTGCATTCTCCTTTTCGACGACGCTGCAGAAAATATTTTAGCCAAACGAGTGCTTACGCCAGTGAAATTTATTTCCTCGATTTAATTCTTCTAGTTGGGTCTTTTCAATGTTTAATCTTGTCTCCTATAGAAGACACAGAATTGCAGCTTCTGTGTTTCAGAGAATATCTCCATAAAGGAGAGAATGAGACTTCTGTTCATTAGAAAATTTTCGTAGCTACACGTTAAGGTTTCATTGTTGAGGTTTTCAGAACAATTTAACCTTAACAGAGCTTACAAGATCCGAGTTAAGTCTGCTTGCTCGGAATTACTGCGAAAAGAATAGACGACTTCGGTATCCTAGTTTCGTTAGAAACAAACCTTGGCCCGTAATTGTTCCCACCATCGTGTCACACGATCCGCAAGCCAAAATGGCCGCAGCGAGGAGGGCGTTTGATGCTCCCCGATTAATCGAATCTCGGACTATTATCCTTGTCAGGATCAAACTTCGATTACCGCAGCAAACTTGAAACGCGAATTAACGCTGCTGGAACTTGCACCGTGCGATCTCGATTGCACTCTAAATACATACCCAGTCTTCCTCGCTTCCTGCTTCTGTGGTTTATCTATCAAAAGAGGAGATACTAAGTGCGCCGACGATCGGACCAGCTCTCCGTTGAACTGCAATTGCAACGCAACGATACGCGATCCACGGAAGCAGAGTGGACAGTTACGACGACTCCTGTTTCGGAAGAAGCGAACGCTAATAGGGCCATCGTCGGGAACGATGCGTTCGGGATCGAGAGGAATCGAAGGGAATCGAAGGGGATCGAAGCAGATCGGGGAGGTTCGAAGGGGATCGGCGAGGAATTATCCGACGGCAGCACTCTGCAGACTCCCATTCTACTTTGCTTCTCCTGAATGGAAACACGGTGGTATCCAAAAAGAGTGTCGGACGGGTACGTTTGGGGGGCATTACGAGCGTCCGGTACGTGAGAAGTCGTGGGATCCGGTCGCGGAGCTGCACACGGAGAGTTCCCTTGTTTCTGCTGGCGGACGATCGTGGTAGTCGGTAGCGAGGAATAATCTTGTAGGCATCGGTTGCCGTACCGGAGCTGACCATCTGGGCTCGCCGACAATTTCGTGCAGTTTGCGGTCGAACTTTATTTGTCGTTCGCCCTCGTGGCCGAACGTCTCTCTCTCTCTCTCTTTCTCTCTTTCTCTCTCTCTCTCCCTCCTTCTATCTCCCTTCTCCCTTCATTCTCAGCCTTCTTGCCTCGTCTCCCTCGTCCCGGTTCCTCCCCGACGCTGGAATAACAATTTGCGCCTTGGCTCCCATTCTTGGCTTCCTCTCGCGTCCACCGGCCGAAAGGAAAGCAGAAAGACGTGCCGCTTCTTTTGATTAGCGACCGGGGACTTTGTTGTCGGATACCGATCGCTGGTACCGGGATCCAGTCGATCGTTTAGGCAGGACAATTATCGTTGTCCCGGAGCGATAGCGCTCGAGAGGTCTGAAGAGGTACCGAGCGTCGTAGCTCTGTGAAAAAAGATTGTACGACGGTCCACCTTAGCTTATTTTATAGACGAAAGTCTCTAATTTTATATTCGTCTGCGAGACTTTTGGTCCGAGTTGGTTTTTTTCTCAGGTAACAAGCGAAGAAACGAAGTCGGTCCTCTTTCCAGGGAACGATCTCTTCGTAAATTGAAAACTCTGTATGGAGTTTGAAAAATTTTCTCCACGATTCAAACTAACGCCGATTTCAAGACCGAAGTCTCCTCTTTCCAACGAGCTATCGAACGTTGATCTACGATTTTTCTGTATCGATTTATCGCGTTTCGAAGAAGCAGTGGTCGTAACTGAGAGAAGCCATCAGCATTACTTCGTTACAAACTATATATTGTTTAAGGGAAACAATTACTCAACAGTTTGACGATGTTCCGACCCCGTTAGGCTAGAGAGACATGGTACGATGCATTTTAGGGAGGCGGAGCAGGACGTTTAGGCGAATCGCGGGCAAGGAACCCTTAAAATCGGCGAGGGGGCGGACGATGTTACGCAGCCGTAACGGAGTCGTTACGAAGCAATCTTTCCGCTAAATATCCTGCTCGATGATTATGCAACCGTTCGGGAGTATGCACGTGGCGCATAATGTGCCCCGCCGTATAACGTATAACGTATAACGATACGCGTTACACGCATATTGCGATCCTACGCAATAGCGAATCGCCGCGGCGCGATGCGGCCCGGCGCTTTGCGCAGAGCGCGCAGCGTCCCGGGCGCGCTATGTAGGCGCTGCGATACTTGGCCATAGCGTTCTATCAATTCGCCGGACCGTGATATGCGAGGAATGCTATTGAAGTCGATCGAGACACGGGGATTGCTCGAGTTTCTTAATTATCCCACTCTGCCGGGCTAATTGCACAAACATCTTCCCTTGGTCGACGGTGGCCGGCCTCCGCTTTCGTTCGCATCGCGATCGCCACCGGAAGAAGCCGAATTTCGGGCCTGTTCTGCTTCAAGGACGTTCATTGAACCAATCATTCGACGATTCCACCGTTCGACACCCTAACCACGCGGGGTTAATTTCGCCGTGAAAATGCTTCAGCTCGAACCGAGCTCGCCTGGTTCGCGGATGATCAGCCGACAGGTTTCAGCCGGTTCGCGTTCGATTCGAAATTGAAGAGCACCCAGGTCTGATTCGAGGTCCGAAGTTCGAAGGACGAGCGATTGGAGCAGGCTAAAGCGGTCTAGGATCTTGGAGATCGTTGGCGTCGAAGAGGAAGGCCACTGATTCCGACGATTGAATTATTCTGACGACGCTACAGGGCAAAATTTCATTTTTGTTCCAGGACAGACACACATTCCGGGCCTGGCGCGGGTTCCCGCGTTGCCCCGGGTCCCTGGACTGTCGAGGGGGGCCTTCCCCGACGCGCCGAGCCCTTTCACCCCCTACCTACGAGACCCGGAGCCGTACCGTAGGAATAAGCATCACATCGGCAACAACGTCACCGCGAATTCGGTTAGTGGTGCCTGCACCAACCCCAACAACACCGACCCGACCGCATCGCCCGCTTCCAGTACACACCTCGGGGCTACCGGCGGCTCCTCGGCTCATCAGGATTGCTACAAGCACAGCCCTCAACACGGTGGTGAGTCTTGTTCCTTCCACCGTCGCTTACGACCAATCGTGTACGTTAGATCACCTGGTCGGTCGAGTTCCTGCCAAATTAATTAGCTGCGAGCCCCGTGGAGCCTCCGATTTCACAGCGACACGTCGTCGAGCTCTTCGAGACGTACGGTATATCCCGTCGAATTGTCCCTCGGCTTGGAAACGAAAATGGACAACTTGGAAAGTGGAGATACGATTATTCGAGCTTGCGGCTGGTTTTTATAGTCCTCGATTATCGACAAGAACCAGCCGCGAGGCTCGAATAATCGCATCTCCTCTTCCCAAATTGTCCACTTTTGTGGACAATCTGAGCGTCGGTTAGGGAGACGTTACTGTATTCTGGTTTCCGACGGTGTCTTCCGGTGGTTTCCGCGAACGAAAAAATTCGTAGTTTCCGCCGAATCGAGAATCGGAAGCGATCGAGGTCGCGGACTCCGATCGCGCCAGCTAATTAATCGCGTCGCCGAAATTCGAGACTTTCCGGGCGAGAGTAACGGCGAGGGCAACGGCGAGGGTAACGGCGTCCAGATGGAAGCCGCGTCTTCCGGTCTGTTTGCCTCGTACTGTTTGATCGCGGATCTTCTTCGGGTATCATCATCATCATCATCATCATCTCTCGCTCACGACCGGGATCCTCGTGGCTCGTGGAGCGACTCGAAACTACGCACCCGTACCCCACCCTCGGCCGAGGAAAGGGGGGCAGGAGGACGGCAGAGGGAACGGAGGGAGGGAGAGAGAGGTCCGCCGTTTCGCGAGGTAATAGTTTCATACCTCGTTCCGGCTCTGCACCCTCTAATTCAACGTAATAACGACATTCAACCTGCCGTTTCCATCTCTTCTCTCTTCGCCGATCCCCGCCACGATGCACCGTTGCATCCACCGCCAGCACGAGGCAAAAGTGTCCTCCGATCCTCGCGCTGCACCGTCGCAAGGATTCAGTTGGAATTTCCCTCGGTCTGTTCGTCGTTTCGTCGATTCTCCGGGAGTCACCTCGACTCGGTGCTCCAGTCCTCGGCTTGTCGACGAACCTGAGAAATATTCGAAGACGATGTCTCTTCTTAGAAAACTCGGGCGAAGAATAGCTCCGGTTTTTCAAATTCGCGTTTCAGCAGCGATACAGTAATTAGGGGAGGAAACGATTCCTCGGGGATCCGATAGGTGGTCCAGGCGTGCGCGTTTCCTAGCGGGGGTTTTCAGAGGACCGGGGGATATTTCGAGCCGATATTCCAAGATGCAAAAAGGCGGGAAGGTCGGCAGCCACTTTATTTCTGCATGGCTCGTCTCGCATCAGCGGTCTCGACCTGATCAAAGTTAAGTAGACGCGCCCCTGGCTGGCAAGACCTCTTTGAAGCTACGCTGCGGTTTCTCTTTGCCCTAATCTCCTCCTGCTCCGACCTCTCCGCCACCTTCTCCGTCGATCAGCCCCGTGCACCACCTTCGAGTGAACTTTGCTACGCGCCCGTGTCACCTTTCCGGATCGGCCACCATTGTAATTACCTCANAGCATCACATCGGCAACAACGTCACCGCGAATTCGGTTAGTGGTGCCTGCACCAACCCCAACAACACCGACCCGACCGCATCGCCCGCTTCCAGTACACACCTCGGGGCTACCGGCGGCTCCTCGGCTCATCAGGATTGCTACAAGCACAGCCCTCAACACGGTGGTGAGTCTTGTTCCTTCCACCGTCGCTTACGACCAATCGTGTACGTTAGATCACCTGGTCGGTCGAGTTCCTGCCAAATTAATTAGCTGCGAGCCCCGTGGAGCCTCCGATTTCACAGCGACACGTCGTCGAGCTCTTCGAGACGTACGGTATATCCCGTCGAATTGTCCCTCGGCTTGGAAACGAAAATGGACAACTTGGAAAGTGGAGATACGATTATTCGAGCTTGCGGCTGGTTTTTATAGTCCTCGATTATCGACAAGAACCAGCCGCGAGGCTCGAATAATCGCATCTCCTCTTCCCAAATTGTCCACTTTTGTGGACAATCTGAGCGTCGGTTAGGGAGACGTTACTGTATTCTGGTTTCCGACGGTGTCTTCCGGTGGTTTCCGCGAACGAAAAAATTCGTAGTTTCCGCCGAATCGAGAATCGGAAGCGATCGAGGTCGCGGACTCCGATCGCGCCAGCTAATTAATCGCGTCGCCGAAATTCGAGACTTTCCGGGCGAGAGTAACGGCGAGGGCAACGGCGAGGGTAACGGCGTCCAGATGGAAGCCGCGTCTTCCGGTCTGTTTGCCTCGTACTGTTTGATCGCGGATCTTCTTCGGGTATCATCATCATCATCATCATCATCTCTCGCTCACGACCGGGATCCTCGTGGCTCGTGGAGCGACTCGAAACTACGCACCCGTACCCCACCCTCGGCCGAGGAAAGGGGGGCAGGAGGACGGCAGAGGGAACGGAGGGAGGGAGAGAGAGGTCCGCCGTTTCGCGAGGTAATAGTTTCATACCTCGTTCCGGCTCTGCACCCTCTAATTCAACGTAATAACGACATTCAACCTGCCGTTTCCATCTCTTCTCTCTTCGCCGATCCCCGCCACGATGCACCGTTGCATCCACCGCCAGCACGAGGCAAAAGTGTCCTCCGATCCTCGCGCTGCACCGTCGCAAGGATTCAGTTGGAATTTCCCTCGGTCTGTTCGTCGTTTCGTCGATTCTCCGGGAGTCACCTCGACTCGGTGCTCCAGTCCTCGGCTTGTCGACGAACCTGAGAAATATTCGAAGACGATGTCTCTTCTTAGAAAACTCGGGCGAAGAATAGCTCCGGTTTTTCAAATTCGCGTTTCAGCAGCGATACAGTAATTAGGGGAGGAAACGATTCCTCGGGGATCCGATAGGTGGTCCAGGCGTGCGCGTTTCCTAGCGGGGGTTTTCAGAGGACCGGGGGATATTTCGAGCCGATATTCCAAGATGCAAAAAGGCGGGAAGGTCGGCAGCCACTTTATTTCTGCATGGCTCGTCTCGCATCAGCGGTCTCGACCTGATCAAAGTTAAGTAGACGCGCCCCTGGCTGGCAAGACCTCTTTGAAGCTACGCTGCGGTTTCTCTTTGCCCTAATCTCCTCCTGCTCCGACCTCTCCGCCACCTTCTCCGTCGATCAGCCCCGTGCACCACCTTCGAGTGAACTTTGCTACGCGCCCGTGTCACCTTTCCGGATCGGCCACCATTGTAATTACCTCATCCATCGGGGCCGACGTTCTTTGGCTGCGACGCAAGACAGAAGTCTGTGCCTTTCCCATCGAGGACCAGGGTTTTATCGCATCAAAAATTCGTCGTTGAAACTTCTCTCTCACCCATCGAATCGTGGATCATCGTCTTAGTTAGAGGAAAGCCTCCATCGTTGTCATAAATGGCTCCGATATTTCTTCAGGATGAGTTCAGAGGTTCTGACTTGTCGAAGTACTTTCCTGACTATCGAAGATGGATCTGCAGAGTCGTAGATCTCACGAAGTTAGATAGAACGAAGAAGAGGATCGTTTCAGCGCCAAGAAGGGCTTCCTCCAACGTTTACGTAGCTGTAGGATGGATGACATAGATTTGAACTATTAGCTCCCTCGAGTTTCGAAGGCTTCCACGCAACGGTGATTAAACAATCGCAGAGCCCGCGGAACAATCGCGAGTTTCACCGTGGAAACTGCAGCGAGCCCAGGAGGGCCCGAGCCCGGTCTCTCAATCTAAACGACCCAGATTCTCGGTAATGCCCCGATCCCGTCGAATCCGTTCCCGGTTGCCCGAGGCGAGCCCACCTGCAAATCGTTTCTGCCTTTTCCCTGGTCTTCGTCGGAGCATTCGTTCCGGCTCGGCTCGGCTCGGCTCGGCTTTGCTTGGCGTAATGCGACCGTTTTCACACCTATCAGCATGAATGGGGAAATAGTCGAGCCGCGAAATGCTTCATTTACTAGTCGTCGGGCCCCATTGATCCCCTCTCTGTCTCTCGCACGGTCCTCCTCGGTCGGTTTCTTCTTGCTCGCGCCTAATGAGCGGATCCGAGGCCGGGCACACGTACGAACGAGCATAGAGTGCGAAATGACCGACCGGAGAGCGTCGGTGGATGCAATTTTCTTGCCCCCCTTCTCCCGCGAATTGCCTCCCTCGCTCCTCGCGCTTCCCTCCCAGCGATCTCGCGTTTTCCCCTCTCCGCCGAAACTCAGCCATGGTGTTTCGAGCTGCCCACCGATTCGGATCCGGAGCCGGTACAACCTACAACGACCGATCCTCGCCGCCTCACGTACGGCTCACGTGCACGTCTGCGTAATACCAGGGATCGATCGGCCGATCGATCGGGGAACGATCGATCCCGAGAGCTGGATCCATGTTGTTTTTGCCCTTCGCTCTGCTGCCCGCTCCGCTCCTCCTTTTGTCTCGGGCTCGGTTCGCTTGCGATGCCAGACGTTGTTGAATCGCAGCCGATCTCTCTCGCTCTCTCGCTCTCCCGCTCTCCATCTCGTTCTCTCCTCGTCATTCTCGAGCCTTCTTCCCACCCTCCTCGCAATCTTCTCTGCCTCCTCGTCCGCGTCTCGTCGCTGCTTTCCATCGACTCCCGGTCTCTCTGATTGCCCTCTAAATCTCGCCTACATGACCAGCTGCAAGATCTACTGCACCGTACTCGCCTGCGCAAGCTTGCTGAATGCACGATGTGCACGCAATTATGCTAGTCGAGTATTCTCTGCCTGGATGGCAGAGATTAGCTCTTTTTATTCTCGGATTCCTCGCGCTTTGGCAGTTTTTCTGGCGACTTGGTGACCTGCTCTTCGTGTTCCGACGGAGGTTTCGTGCTTAGGGGAAGGATCGAGAAGCTTGATCTTCGAGGGAAATCGATGCTCGCGCAGCTTCTGCACCTTGCAGCAGACGCGGGCCGATACCGATAGATTCTTCGATTCTAGGAGAACTTCGACGCGCCTGATTCGCCGAGAATCTCGACAATTAATTACCCTGCAAATTTCTGATAGTCCTCGTTCACTTCTGCTTCGAACAAATCGTGTTTCCGGGCGATGCTCGCACGGGGAACACGCGTTTACGTTTACTGGGATCGTAAACGCGGTGGGGTACCGGTCGGCATGGAAGGGCACGCCGGCGCGGCGACCTCGGCCAGAAGGTCTCCGGGTGAAGAAAAAAGGGGAAGCATTATTCCTGTCTCTTATAATATAACCGTGTCCGTTTCTCGTTCTTCTCCTTCTTCTTCTTCCCCTCGAGTCTCATCTCGAGTCGTGATCGGGGTAATGAGGCTCTCTCCGGCAGTGGCAGCGGACCAGAAGAGTACCCGGGGACCGTTGCGCGTTCGCTGCCAGGCGAAACCGAGAAAGAAACACGGCTGCCGAGAGACAAAGTCGTGGTAGGGGTAAGCACGCTGATTATGGGGTGTCAAACAATCACGCTGATTGTATACCCTCGACCCGAGCTGGGACCACTTCTGTCTGACTCGGCGTCTACTCGCGCGATGCGTTTGTCTTGTTTGCACTCCGCTCGATCGTGCATTTTTAATTGATCGGCACGAGGCATTTCCGTCGGATCGATTTCGACGCAGGATCTACCGTTCGAACACTCGAACTCGAACCGTAACGTGGCTAGAGCTTCGAAAAATAATTGTCAAGGCGTTAGACTTCCATGCAAGATCTTCGCAATTTTCCCTGACACGTGGCTCTTGCTCTCGATAGTGCCTAGCAAGCGCAAAATTGCTGTCTACCGGATTCAACATCCCGCTCGACGTTCGCTTGGACATTTTTGTAATCGATTTTAGCCATTGGTGAACGAAGAATTCCGGCAAACGAAGGGAAGCGGGAACAAAAGCGCGGCCGTCTGACAAAGAAGCGCTTTAGAAGAGTTTGAAATCAGGATTCGCTTTCTCCGAAGATCGGCGAATTGTAGGTGGAAGGGACGAGGTTCTAAGAAGCCGGGATTGCCGGGAAGAGGCAAAAGAATCGAGTCTCTTTACCTATTTACGGAGGGTAATTGACGGACCGTGGAATACGAAAAAGAGACGGAACAGAAGTTGTCGAAGAAGATGGCAGAAGAGGGTCGATCCCGCGATTCCCACGTGCCTCCGCGGAATAGCGGAGAATGCGGCTACCTTTCTGGCTGTTTCTCGGCCTTTTTCCCCGGCATACTGATTGTCCCGCGCACATTCTTGCCTCGCCGGTGGATTTTGTCCGTCGCAGGCTTAATGGAAGGCTAGTGCGTGCGCTTGTACGGAATCATTACTCCTCCTTCGGACGGTCGGGGATTTTAGCTAAACGCAGCCGACGGATAAATCTTTGTCGTTTAATATCAGTCTCCCGGCCCGTTGCGATTATCATTCTCCATCTTGTGGAATCGCTGGTACCATTTGATTCGAAACTCTGCGAGAATTAAAACTCTGAGGCAGGATTGTTTTCTGAACGACTACGCGAGAGCTGTAGTATCGTTTCTGCTGTAGCTTTCTGTGAAATACGTGTGTGGTTACACGACCCCATCGGGCAATTATTAAATTAACACCACGCGCATTCAATTTATTTAATTGCAGCACGGCGATGCTGAATTAAAGCGAGCCGGTAGAAAGTGATTCGTGTAAATATATCGGTACGATTAATGGTATTCGATTGATCGAAACAGTTGTGCAGCAGGAAATATAGATCGAAGTACAGTAATGTCTCTCTAATTGACGGCCAGATTGCGCCCAGATA